GAAAGGCTGGTGTTTTAGAAGACCGCTAAATGTCTTTAGGCCTTTACAAACCTATTTTATGCTGCTTTTGTAAACAAGATTTATGACTTAGGATAAATATATTTAACAGAGAGTTTCTAATCTAATTGTTTTCTTGTTTTCCTATGAATTATCATTTATCAAACACATTGTTATTAAGAGGTGTATTTTATGGAAATACTAACCCTCATTTTTATTCTTTCGTTTAAATAAAAAAAGAATTACAGGAATGCATTTTCGTGGAATAGTGGCGAGGAAGTGGTACTTAACCTATTTTAACTGCATGTAAAATTTTACCTCTTCCAGGATTATCAAAAATAGCACTTTTTTCTAGTCTGGGTTCTATTTATATTTTTATAACAGTACACATAACAGCTAAATTTGTATGTGGAAACAGCAACCTGGGAGTGGTTTTAACTGCTCTTCTGGTCTTCAATTAGAATCATGGCTTTTTCATTTTGGAAAATATTATATGTCTGCTAAATGTAACTGTCCAAGTCAGTTATTTGAAAAAGCCAACTTTTGTATACAGTGAGAAATTGGTATCATAAAAGAACAAGGTTTTTTTTTTAACTGTGCTAATGGAGCCATCAAAAATGAAGTGTGCCTTCTTACATTTCTCCAGGAAAAGTACAATATATAGAGTAAATATACTACAATGGGCCATGGTGTCTTGAATTTCATATGATTCTTGGTTTTAAGTACCCAGTTTATATGGTTTCAGAAATAGCCTTGAATAGGATTTCTGAATGTCAGGAGCTAATAGCACATAGCCACACTTTTATGTGCAGCATAAGCAACGAAATAGTGGAAAAGTACAAAATATTAAATATTAAACTTTCATCTTTTGTTTTCATGCTCACATCTGGCAAAGCACTATGCCAGTATTCTGAGTAATGCATCCTCCAAAAGCAGAACTCCAAAGCAGGTAGATTCCTCAAAGAACATGTTTATTGGATATATCATATTGGCACAGGCAGTGAAAACCAACTCTAAAAGTTCCCGCAGTTTTAGCCTAATTAAAAGAGCAAATATTTCCCTCTCCAGATGTCACTAGTCACATGATCCAATGAAAGTAGCTGGCTGCTGCTTGGTCACTCCTCTCCTCTTTCAATTGCTACCTGTTGGGATGACCTTGGTTCCCACAAGAAAACTCTTTGTTTTGACTGTTAGCCACTCTATTTCCCCCTCCCTTCCCCCTTTCAGAGTTCATGGCAACTATGAGGCAGCAAAAGATGGCTTCAGCCAGGTTTGCTTCAGAATTGCCATGTAGGAGTGAATGGCATAAACATTTTAAAGATAATAATGCTTTATTTCTGCGAAATGGGTATTTTGTGACTGGTTATGTCCCTCATGGCAGCCATTTTATGAGAATGCCTATAAACATCGCCTTTTAAAAATAACAGGTCCACTTCACTGTAATTGTAACTGAGAAGTATAAAATGGTTATCTTAAGAGTGTAAAATAAACTAGTTTTCTTAGAAACATTTTACACATTTCACAGTGGTCTTTAAAAACTTGGAATGGTCACAGAATGTGACCTGTGTCCATAAGCTGCGGTCCATTGTATCTATATAATATACATTTATTCAATTTTAAGATAAATCTTTAAATTCCCTTAGGTCTAATCCCCCCAAACGGTCAATGTGCAATGGCTAGTTAAGAAATTTGCAAATAACACTGGATATAAGATTTAAACCACTCAGATAATCCAGGGGCAGCAAGTGGAGGCTGGAGAGCTAAATTCTAGCCTAGTTATCAGATTTGCTGATAAAAAGATGACAGGGGTGTTATGTATTCCCAACAATGGACAATCCTGCAAAGAAAATAGGATGCTATGCCCTATTCATCAGAGTTAAGCTGAAGTCTCATTGCATCTTTGCTAATGCTTAAATGCATCATCTCGCATCTAGATGATGTAATCTATGTGAAAATACATACTGTACATTTTTTCTCACTATCCAATGCTGAATTCCTTGTTAAGATCCAGGCAAGCTACTCTGTTGCAGTCGAATAAAATTAGTAGATTGACTGTTCTCTCCATCTCTTAAAATACTAGAATTGATGCATGCTAGATTTTAAAAATTTTAGCGATGAGTACTAGATTTCAAAATTCAGAGTACACAAGGGAAAACACAGAAGCTATAGCTACATGTTTTGAAAGCTTTTAGATTAAACTATTTTTCTCCATCAGCTGTTTTGCAGATATGTGAAACAGATTGCAGATTCTCTAACTAACAGATTGCAGAATTTTCTAGCTAAGTAATCTGCAAATAGTAATTCAATACTTCTGCAAAACACCAGGTTGGTGGAGGTTGGGTTTGATAGACTTGTGTAGGTTAATTCCATCAATATTCAATTATTAGCCATGATCACAATATGATTTTCTTCTTCGGAAGCATATGCTTTAGTAATGGGAAGCTGTTGACTTTATATGTGGTTTGCCCATTGTGACTGGGAAATGCTGGAGACAGATTGCTGAAGCCATTGAATCCTGGTGGTATTATGCAGTTGGGTTATTTATTCTAAAGCACCATTAAAGTCGTTAGGATGTTAATGCATTTGGCAGCATTAGATAAAAGAATGTTTAATTAAACACAATAGCCAACACAATAACCTGTATTACAAACCAAAGCAGTATTAAAGGATTAAACAATTGTCCATAATATTCTAGAACAAGACTTAATCTTATTACACTATTTCTAGAATGTCAGTATTAGTACCATACAGCTGAGTGATCTCAAAATTATAGGTAAAAGCTCCATAATAAAGGCATCAGGTAGTTTAAAAAGTCAAGATGGTGAATATAGCCATACAACTGAAGCTTTAGCTTCTTTTTTCTTTTTATTATATTGTTATAAATCTTGATACGTTGTATTATTTCAATATTTCAATAATTACCCTATACTTATTATTGTATAGATTGCATACAGCATTGCAATCGATTAAAGAAAATTATGCAGTTTTATCTATAGAAGTTTTTTCCCAATGCAGCTTTATATGACTAATAATATTGTTGAATATTATTTCATACTGTTTCTCTGCCCCATGGATCTAACTATTTAATATCTTCACTTGGATGTCACCATTTTTCAAGAGAGAAAAGGCTGATTGATGGGTTTTTTTACAATGAAGGTGTCACTGCTGAGAAATCTTTGCTCAAAAGAAATGTAGCTGGGGTTTAATTTTAGGCTTTTAGCAGCAGCTGAAAATTGTGATGACAAATGTTATTTTGGTAGGTTTAACTGCATCATCGGCTACTTCTGTTTTCAATTCTTTAGATGTTTTCCTTTAACCTAACACTGTACTGAAAGTTTAATAATTTGGAAAAAAAATTAAAAGCAAAATTAAAACATTTTAAATGCACACATCCGTTTCTGCTTATAATAAAAGGTGTGTTGGGTATGTTTGACAGGTTGAGTTATTTCTAAAATAATAAAGGTGAGATACAAATAAACAATAAATCTAGCATGTGCATAAAGTTTTTATATGTTTGTTCATTTTATCATTTAAGATTTTAACTTTGCCTCAAGACAACTTTGTCAACATATAACAGATGCATCTACAATTGCTAGCCTGGCTGGGTGGAGTCAGTCCATTGCCTGAAGCAACCACTGTGAAGTTGCTTTCAGTAGTGGAGATCAATCATGTAGAGAAGCTGGGCAGAAATGAGGCAGCAGCCGATACCTGGAAGGCCTCATAGTTGATTAGTGGTTTCCTTTCTCTCCCAGTCCCCATCACCTGTAAATCTAGCATGATCTAATAAATTACAAGTGATCATTTTTCTCTATCATGTTTAGCACTGTTTCCTAATCTTGATAACTTTAAGATGTATGGACTTCAACTCCCAGAAATCTCCAGCTGACATGGGAGTCCATGTCCATATATATTAAAGTAGCTAAGGTTGAGAAATACCATCATTGGAAGTCATATTTAAATTACAGTATTGGGCAAAATGGTTTCTGGGTGTGTTTCAGTTACAGCTTACAATCAGAGAGACACAAAGAGTTGTTTTAAAATGTTAAAAAATATTGAAACAAAAGGGAGACTTTAAAAAAAAAAGGTGAAAAGAAGAACGAGACATGAAGAGATTACAAGGAACCAGTGCATTCTTCCTTGACAGTATTGAATGATGCTGAGAGCCAACAAAAACAAAAGGCAATTCTCCTTCTCCCCAGTAAAAGTCACCCACCAATGCAACTCAGGCTATTTATGTTTTTTCATCAAATCACAAATTAACACTGAAAGGATCCAATTAATCTTCATTATCAAATAAACCTTGGGACTTAATTGCTACTAATGATTCTAAGATATTGTTTGGAAAAATTCTTTTATTGAATACTGTATTCAGTAGACATCTAGAACCTTAAGATAGAATTACCCATCCCTGAAGAAAACACCTACCTCCTATACCATCTAGTTTCTTTCTGGCAGATATTTATCACAATTCACAAGGGTCCAGCAAATAAGCAGTTGACCTTACTTCTCTAAGAGATTTATCCTATATTCAATTAAACAAGAATCAACTTATCTTAAAAACTGAGTAAGTATCCAACTCATTTACTACTCCAATGAATACACTCTTCATAAATATGAACTATTTCATTGGTAAAATGTTTTGGCATATGCCTTGGCCTGCTAGATGTAGGGCATTGACAGTTTTCATCCATTTCTGCATGACTGTTCTGAATGGATCAATTTCTGTTCTAGATGTTGGTCTATGCCTCCTGCTTTTTTTCCTGAATCATAATTTGATTTCTTATATTACTGGCTATTATTTTTTTAAAAAATTAGCTTCCATGAAATTCTAGCACTTCACATCATTTTAGAAATATTTACTCCACTGATCCCCTGACCATATTTTCTGAAAACCATTTAGCATCAGGAAATCAGCTTTCCATATATTGCTCTCTCTTTATATTCTGGATGGCAGTATATTAAACTGGGAGATGCTGTACTAGAATTTCTAATTCTAATTCATTGGTTTTGAAAGTTTGTTCAGATGTGGAATGGGTTTAAATATACAAACATGACAAGCAAAAAATGAGATCCATAAAATAATCTTCCTGTGTATTTTACTTAACATTTGAAACACAGAGATATCTATGGGATTCTGGACAATCTTACATTATCTTTTTATTTCCTTAACATACTAAGCAACTGAGAATGAGCAAAAAAAAACCAAAACCTTTTTTGAGCATTATTGTTCATATTCAGTATGGCCCAAAAGAAAATACAGACTGGTTCCCATCAGAAAGATATTCTGGCTAATGAACAAGACCTACACTTGATCTTTGCCATTTTGTATTTCAGATTTACAAGGGTTGTCCTTAAGGAGTTTAACAAAGGGTGTTTGTAGATGATCACAAAAGCCGTGTGTGTTTGGAATTATAACAACTTACTAAGCAGGCAAGAACTTGAATAAAAGATCCAATGAAAATTAATCTGGTTGTGGAAAAAAATACTCTTCTTCATACACATGGTAGGCCTTTTCAAGTGCCCATTTGAATTAGCAATGAATTCATGCTTCATTAATGACTCAGATCAATAGCTTCCTGGGAATGCCTGCTTTGATGATACATATAAATGTCAGTAGTTTTGCATATTTGCAATTTGCCAATATTGTTGGCACAAGTGAAAATAGAAGATCCATTGTTATTCTATTCTGCCTTGATATTTGAAGGAGCAAACCTAGAGTCAGTGATCCTATACAATGCCATGGAAAATCCTCAACTTCCATCTCTGTAGAAATAAATATCCATCTTTTTTCTGTTCGCACACTGAGAATAACTCACAGAAGCAACCTGGAAAAGATCTTGGATTACATATGCTCTTGGATTACATATGATCAAAAAATAATTTTCTCAGATGTTGTTTTCCTTTTACTGGACACATTTAAGTATTCCCTAAACTGGGGAATGTCAGATGTTGGTATCACAGGCACTTGTCAGAGCTCACACCTCTGTAAGAAGCTGCTTCTTGATTTCAGATTACTTTGACCATCTGCTCTTCCACTTTGTTTACCTCAATACAACAGTAAGGCAAAAAGAGGAAGGTCAATTAAAAAAAAACATTAGTAAGAAGGCCAAGGCCATGGAATTCCACCCCCCACCCCCCATGCCCCATTGTGTTGCTCCACTCCTTGCTTCTTCTGTTTTCATGTTGGCACCAACCTGAAAACAGAAGAAGCAAGGAGTGGAGCAACAAGGAGGAAGTAACTCCACCCAGAAAAGAGTTAAGCTAGTTTTATGGCACTCAAAATTTATTTCAGCAGTTACCTCATGTAGAAAAATACCACCAACATTATTTTCAAATTTTAATGTGACACATTTGATATTTTCCATTGAGGAATAATAATGACAGTTAGCTTCTGATTGGAATACTGTAGGGAGAGGAACGCTCATTGGCCAGAGAACTTGATAAGATTTACAAAAAATTCTTTTAATTTGTTATAAAACATTTTGGTTTAGAATGTCCAAAATTAAATATTTAAGGTTTAATAAATTATTTCACCGAATGTAGTCATATACATTAGTTTTAAGATGTAAATCATTCCACACTTACATTTGGACAGATCCTTAAAGCTGCAGGCACATATATAGTATAATTATCTGGACTAACCCTTTTGGATACAGAAGGAGTCATTTCCAAGTAAACATGCACATGATAGCAAAACGACATGCCTAATTCCCAAATTGGTAGAGGTGGCTTAACCAGGGGTTTATAAAGTATCTGTAAAGAAAAAAAAAGTTTAACCAAGTGATAGTTTTCTCTGCCTTAACGCACCACATAAACATATGGCCAGAATGTAAATATGATAATTGTTATATTTTCCTAATTTGCTTTAGAGAGACTTAGAAAGTTTGATGCAATGGTAGAAATAAGATAATTATATGTTTTGTTCTTTTAGTATCTGGTGATGAATCCAGAGAATTCAAGTTTTGAGATTTCCTTTTCATTAGAAAAATTTGTCCGGTCAATGCGTGAGCTAGGACTTCCAACGCTGGTCAACCAAGCTTTCCTGCAAAGGGAAAAAATAGTATAGGAATCAAAGTAATAAAATAGTGTTCATTTTTCTGCTACTGTATTTTGCTATTGTATGTTGTTGAAAGTGTGGCAAAGCAAAGCAAGATAATTTTGCAGAAAGTCAAAGGGGATTTTATCCATTTTATGGATGTTGAGGATTGAGGTACTTAAAAACAAGAAGGAATTCACACAAATCCTATACACGTAGTAAAGTACATTGATATGGTCTAAGTCAGCAACTGAGTTCCAAAGCAACATAAAATATCAGATTTACTTCTGCATAATACTTCTAAATGAATTTTTTATTTTGCAATTTGCACAATTTGGAATTATACATGGAGGCTTATGCAACCCTCCATGAACAAAATAAATTATTGTTATGATCTGAAATTGTTGGAAGACTCAACATGTGATATCTTGATAAAAAAAACCAGTAATGTTTAAAAGCATGTTACTAAGTATAACAATATCACTATATAAATGACAAACATTCTGTCCTATCTTTGCGTTGGATGCAATATATTATTGAACAATAATGTTTTTCCTTTTCTATGTTTTGTTCCTGTATTACTGGCATTGGTAGTCTATAATTTTTGCCAGGAGTGCTAGGAGATAGACAGTGCTAATAGGTCTACTGTTAGCAGCAATTATTCTTGCATCTCATTCTGAGATGTCTTATTCTACCATTGCCTCACCCGGAGTCTCTAGGTCTTAATGTTATCCAATTGGACACAAAATCCAGCTTTAGGGTGTCCTTTATTACTTGGAGTTACCAAGGATTGCTTTTACATGACTATCAGTGGAATTCTTTCTTCTTTCTCTGTAGTAGATGATTTGATAAAGTTGATATCAGGGAACGTGGAATATTAGAACTCAAGAATACAAATTACCAGTACCAGTCAGTGGCCTGTTGGGAACCAGGCTGTGCAAGCGGTGGGCGAGTGCGCAAAGCTTCATTTGCACGTGCAAAGGAGCTAGGTTGCACATGTGAAACTACCCCCTTCCCCTCAATGCCACTGTTGCTGCCAGTCCATGGAGCCAGAAGGATTGGGGACCACTGCTTTATGAGAAACAAAACTGCTCTGTTATAAACCTGCTACAGTGTTGGTTCAACTACTAATAGAGGGGTTTACCATTTCAAATTACCTAGATTCATCCATACCTTAGATCAGTGTCAGTCATTCAGGTCATAGTTGTCCCAAAAGTGATTTTTCAAGACGCAACTGGACTTTCTTGTTTTTCTTTGAAGACATTTTGCCACGTCATCCAAGAAGCTTCTTCAGCTCTTTACTGGTGAGGAATGGAAGGATTTATACTCCTTGCAGACAGCTGGATATTTTCAATCTTTTATTGAGGCCACCTGGAGGTTTGTCTGTGTCCTCAGGGTCACCTGAGTAGTTCAAATGCGTGAGGAGATTTCAAACAGCAAATGACCAGCTGTCTGCAAGGAATATAAATCCTTCCATTTACCACCATCCAGTCAGAGCTGAAGAAGCTTCTTGGATGAGAAGTGAAATGTCTTCAAAAACAAGACAGGCCAGTTGCCTCTTGAAAAAATATCTTTGGGACAGATCAGTGTTTTAGATAAATGTTTTTAAACCTTGGCAGTTTTAAGATGTGTGAACTTCAACTCCCAGAATTCTCAGATTGGGGAATTCTGGAAGTTGAAGTCCATATATCTTAAAGTTCCAAGGTTGAGAAACACTGCCTCAGATTTTACCTAAGATTTCAATGCTCTCTCTCAAGTCTTTGAAGATAATTGCCCATTTAGAGGGAAGCGGCAAGAATCATAGTTTGAAAGGAATCAACACCGCTGCTTACCTGTAAAAGCACAATGTACAATCACAATTGAGCCCAAAATTTCTGTTGTCAAGTGAGACATTTGTAAAGTGAGCTTTGGCAGCTTTGCATTTTATAACCTTTCTTGCCACAGTTGTTAAGTTAGTAACACAGTTGTTAGATGAATTTGGCTTCCCCATTGACTTTGCTTGTTAAAAAGTAGCAAAAGATGATTACATGACTCTGGGGATACTGCAATGGTCATAAATGTGAATCTGACGCCAAGCATATGAATTTTGATCACATGATCATGGGTATACTACAGCAATTGTAAAATGGTCATGTCACACCTTTCAGTGCTGTTGTAACTTCAAATGGTCACTAAATGAATTGTTGTACATCAAAGACTACCTGTATCCATTTGCCAAGGCTCTTCAAGTCAATATATGTCTGTCTATGCTACGATGAAAGCCACAATCACCCATTTAGCAAAAATAGATAAATAGCGTCTTAAATCTTTTGTTTATACTAAAAACTGAGAAAACAGGTGGCAAGATTGAAGCTCAGAGATTGTAAATCACCTTAACTTAACATGAATGCAGCATTTCCCCAAACAAAGAAAGGCATAAGATGCAGAGAGAGTTATGCTTCTTGGACGGTTTCTGAGTCATAACAACAACAACAACAACAACAACAACAACAAACAACAACAACATTCCTCACTGCTTATATTATATTATTAGTACAGCCAACCTGTAATCATATGGGCAATTTTGGTAACTGTTTTATCCCAGGCTCCACCTCTTGATTCTGCCTGAACTTCCAAGCCCTTGTAAAATTTAAGTCGCTATTGAAGGATTTGCAATATACCCACACACTATAGGTTCAATATAGAGTTATCATGTTTTCTGAGAATGTCATTAAGATTATGCCCAACACTTAATTATTTCATAATTCTGGAATTTAATTAAATTATTTTAGTTTTTCTGCAGTCTGAGGGAGAGAACAGACCAAGAATTGAACTTCGGAACTGGAAACATCTGACAGAAAAAGAACAAAGGGTTCATATTCAGGAACCCAGCACTGTGGTATCCTGTGGTGCTAGTGAAAAATAGGAAAAACTGAAAGTACTTTTATGGGATGGCAAAAAAAAAAAAAAAGCATTGAGAAAAATAGAAAAAGAGAAAGTGTAGTTCATGTCACATGAAGGAATTATGCATACCACAAGCTTTTTATAAAAATTACTCATATCCCCATGGATAAACTGAATTGTGTTCTTCGTAAATGGATTATTAAATAGGATTGTTTGCTTGCTCCACTTTATTTTCTGCTGTGCAATTCATGTTCTGTGATAGAAAATGATTTATTTTTTTCAAGATTTGTAATATGTAACTAACACATTCAAGAACTCCTGGTGTGATTACTGTATTTTAAAAACTCAAAATAAAATAATACATCGCTTTAAAAGGCTGTGATTACAGAAAAGGACTGAGTAGCGTAGCACACACTCTAGCATACCAGAACATTAAAATCTAGGAAGATTGGTTGACAAACATAGAGTATAACTATGTAACTAATTGAATTAAGAATTAGGAAAGCTTTGTAGATATCAGCTAAAACAATGGACAGCTCTTCATAGGTTCTGCAATGCAGGAGAAACCTACAGCCACCGTGACTAGTTTCTGTTGAAAAAGGCCCTGTGTTTTTCTCGCTGTTGGCTTCTATTTCTACTTTCTTGATTCTTCTTTTTTTGACAAATATTTGACATTTTCTTTCACAATTCTCTTGAATCTTTACCTGTTTGCACTAAACATGTTGAGGTAGACTTCTCACCATTCTGTCACTTTTCCAAGACTTTGTTAGTTAATGTCCTTAAAACATGTTGTTTTTTTCAGATAGAATCTGTCCCTTTTCCAGTCTAACCAGGAGATGATATTGGGGATACCTATTACTTGGGAAATCAAGTGTCAGAAGATGACATCCTTAATGATCGCCCCTCACCATGGAATAGCTTGCATCATTATATTAGATGAGCTTTATCTTTTATCCTTCAGGATATTGATATTGAGGCCTAGAACTATCCAATAGATAGACCATACTATCTTTAATTTGAGGGAGGGTATTTATGGCATTTGAATTTTTTGAGAGACAGAAGCCTGGGTGTAATACAATAATTGAATTTTTAGCATATTACGTTTGTATGTACATCGACTTGTAAAAATATATTTCCCTGGAATACAAAGATACTGGTATAAAACTGATATGATTATTCTTTTTCTTTAGCAATAAAAATACATTACTCTGGGCTATCTCTCTTGAATACTGTTACAAAAATAAAAGCTTATAAAGTATGGTCTAAATTTATGTCTGAATTTCAACTACAAGCTTCTGAACCTCTGACCTTATTTTAAAGCCCAAGGAAGATGTAAAAAAAAACACTGCAATGTGAAATCTATTTTAAACACTAAAATATTGGAATGAAAATTATATTCTTTAAAGTGGGGGAAGAAGTATGCAAAATACACTGCTAGATAAACCAAAACATCTCAACCCCAGTAAGTTTTATTCTATTTGAATGGACCTCGTGGAAAGATTTTGCAGAAGTTAGCCATCAGAAGGAGAAATAGAAATAAATATTAATCTGCATGTGTTTAGCACTAGTATTTTGGTGAAAGGGAGGCATCACTGATATAAAGCAATCCCCAGCATTTTTCAGGGAAGTCCTGAAATTGCTACTGAAAAGTTCAGTAGCAATTTTGCATGAATATGCTTGGTTAACTCTTTTGCCCTGGGACTTAAATTCAGGATTCAATTTTAAATGTGGAGTATTCAGGAAAAGAATCCTCCATTTAAAATCTCTAATGATGACTGGCTAAAGGACAACAGGCATTCTATCCTTTTATTTGGTTGGCTTTGATTCTTCTCCCTCGGACAGAAAGCATGCACACACAAATAAATATGGTGGTGATGATTAGAATTCCGTGTCCCACAGTGATCAACCTGATACATTTAGTAAGTTCACAAGCATTTGGACAGCTGATAATTTTCTTCCACTGCAGCCCATTGACAGCTAGTATTTAAGACATGGTGATGATGATTCAGAATGTGGCAGACAATTATCAAAACTGCTAATCACTGATAGTGGAATGTTCCCATAGTCCCTTCTCAAAACCAGCTAAATTAGGGTACTACCACATTCATTGTAAATGCATTCGT